ACATTTTTCATATTAATAACATTGTATTAAATGGATATCATAATAGAATAGAGCAAGACCCTGTTTAACGCAGGGGATGCGTTCCTTGACGAGATAGCGCTAAATAAAACAGCGTTAAACAAGATCATTTTAACATAGAATAAATAGGGATAGGAGAACACATGACCGAAAATATAAACTTTTACTTTAATTTTAAGTTATTTTAAATTAATTTGTGTAATGATATATGTTAAATAAAACAAACATTTGCACCCAGAAATGTAAAGTTAATTTTTTGTGATAAAGATCATGACTTTATTGCAAATATAGAAGAATTTCAGATAAGTCGTGAAGTTTCATTTGTCGCTTTTTTCTTTCTTTAATCAAATGTCTGTAGCAAAAATACGCATCCAAAATGCCTCGTTTTGCTTTTTCACTCCTTTCAAACTCTGGATCATTCGATACAATTTGATCAACGATTTCGGTTATCTTACCAAACTTTTACTAAGGAAATCTTTAGAGATATTTTTTGGTTCTTTGTTTTCAGAATCTCTATTTTCCAGTTCTACATGAATTCCTTGTTCTACCAGTTCTTGAAAGTCGTCGTTGATAAGACTCTCACCAGAAACCTGCAGTAACTCCTCAATATCCTGCTTGGCTACATCTGATAGTCCTGCTGTATCGATTATGTTGACAATTTGGTCAACCTAACGATATAGCGATAGGCTGTTCTCGTTGAGAATTCTTGGATATTTTTTGCCATAACTTCTTCCACCCTTCGTTCGTGCATTTATCAGTTAATTCTTACTAAGTGAAGCCGATATTGTCCGTGGCATTCATGATGTTATATTTTGCCAAAATTGCACCAAACAAACATAGATTTAAGAAAGTAAACCTTTTTGTCACTTTTTCTGATTGGTTAGTTTTCGTAAATAATTGTATTATATACGAATCAATAAAATATCGCGATAATTTAAATCGGCGTAAATTTTGAGCTATTATTTTAGGCTTCGAACAGACCACGTTATATCGAATCAGCATTAAGCAAGGCAGCGTTAAGCAGGGTCTTACTGTACTTTTGTTGTTAAGATACAAATCATGTTTTCCTACGATTAACATGATAAGAACATAAGGACAAGTCCATGACATACACACTATTTGCTAAAAACCACTCCCAAGTTCATTTTGTACTATGATTAAGTGCCACTTCTTGTTGAAATTGGAAATAATCCATTGAATTTCCCTGCAATTAAAATTAGGTGCGTATCCAAGCCCATTATGGGTTCGGCCAGGCCGAGAATGGGGCTGCCGGGTGGTGAGGAACAGGGCACAACATATCTGAACGGACCACCCCCCGAAAAATTCCTGGGGATTTTTCGACCCGTTCAGTTTCGAGCCCGGGTCCCCCAGAGCGATAGGCTGCCACCTTGACCGCTCGGCCATCCGGCCGCTGCAACAAAGGGTATAGCGTGCCTGACAACATACGAGAGTTACTTGTGTGTTGGCGTTTTAATAACTTTTCTCTCTGTAGTCAAAACGTTTTATCCGCATTTTTTCGGACATTAATCCCAGTTGATTTCGTAGTTGTTTAAGTCGTGATGATTAAACTTCGAGACATTTTAGAATATGTGGGTGATCAAAAAATATGTCTTATAGAAGAGGAAATGCTAAAACTGATAACTTTACATCTATCCATCTCTTTCTCAGAAAATAATTCACTTTCACCACATTTAATTTTGCTGACCTTATAACTTTTTCATTTTTACAAACGTTTTTAAACTTATCTAATATAGTCCATCATCAAGTTTAATATTATAAATGTTCCAATACGGAACGTACCATGTTCGAATAATTTACATATTTAAATTTCAGAAAAATTATTTAACTTTAAAATAAATTGAAAGAAGTGGGTATATTAAATAAATAAAAAAATGAAACAAAGTAAAGCTAACTATAAAGAAATATGATTTAATGGTTTTTAAGTCCCATTCTATTTTCTATTATATATTTCCACTGTTAGAAGCGCATTAGCATCCTTAGCATTAAGGCAACGGTTTTTATTTTAGTTTTATAAATTTCCACCTTTTCCACTTCCAATGCAATTGATGGAGAAGGGACCATTTTAATGACTTTAGCCTCTTTCCATTTTACAATTGCTCTTTCGGTCTGCGCCATAATCGCTAAAGAGGCTAATGTCATAAAGTCAAAATTCACTCCAGATAACTTGCAGTTATCTGTAGTGAATTTATTCGTTTCTTCCTAACATCGTGCCAATAGCTTCTCCAGCAAAGTGGTCTATCCTTGTTAAATTTCTTCATATCGCTCCATATAACTTCTTGTCTTTTATGAATCCATGCCATATGATATTTGTGCTAAAACACGCCAAAGGCTACTATTTGTGGCTTATAATTAAAATATGAAAATTTGTTCATATTATTGTGTTCATAGATGATTTGAAAACTGTATAACTAAACTGAAAAGTAATGATTTGAAATCTGTATACTTTTCATTCTGACACATTTAAGGCTAGATGAGATGCAATTAACCTCAGATTAATTAATTGCAGAATTGCTAAATTTTTTGAAAATTACTATTTTTGACTTGAATTCAGTGTAGGGGTATTTCAGATAACTTTTTCTTTTATATCATCCAGTAGAATTGATGTAATTTGCTACATTATAGTGAGAACGATTGAATTTTCTAGAAATTTGTGTTATTGAAAATTAAAATTTGTATAGGTTATTTGGCATTGTTCAAAGTATGTAAGAAATTTTCCTGTTCTAATGATGAAATCTTTAATTTATCACGTATTCCCGAACTATATTTTGTAGCAATCACTCGTTATCTAACAAATAACAATTATTTTATACTAATCTATGTGCTATTTCGCATATTTATTGTAATATAACTGATGAAGCAGTTATTACTCTCATTTTGGGACAACATCGCTTATACCACATTTTTTTTATTGCTGTTTAATCAGAGAAGGAAATGCCGACCCCATATAAACATGGGAAAAGGCAGGGATAAAGAAAGAAAATAGCCTATACAACATTGTTAAAATTCTCGTTTTTTAATTTTATTACTGCTTTTTGGTAAAAGTATTATTATACCATATCACAATAAACCAATAATTAGTTCACTTCTATTGTTTGTAATGCTCCTTGTAAACCAATACAAAATACGTTTTGTTCATGTGGAAAAATTACTGGAAATTGAGGAAAACAATTCAACCTATTCAACCACGGGATGACTGATTGAATTTCAAAGTCGACAAACTTTATTCGTCTAGTATTAACATTAAAACATGTCTGCCTAGAAATTAGTTACGAAATATGTTTCTTATTCCGTTGTAAATGTCATTTTTTTCACAATAGCTCTATCATTTAGGGACGGACTATATTTGCGAAAAATCTCGTTTAGCAGTCGTGTAGCTCCTTTTAACATAAAACTGGCAATCAGGCTATAGATTTTGTATGGCGAACTTTGACCTAGATTATCCGAGCAATGGTTCTAATTACAAAATTCTGACTTTGCCATGATATCAACCTTGCCAAGATGTACAGTCAGGGAAAGTGGGGCAAGATGAGAACGCTAAGGTTTGAAAAGTCATAAGATGAAAACCACTTTAATGAGAACAATAATTTTTTTATTCTCAGCAATTATAACATTTGATAATATATAATAGAAAATTTAAGTTTCAAAAAACGTTTTTAAAAACAAGAAAATTTAATATTTTAAAATTATACGTAAATGTACCATCTTACCCCATCTTACACCATCTATAATATCCCCATCTTACACCATAGATGGCGTAAGATGGGGATATTATTTTTATATACAAGAAGGACAAATTATAATAGTTAAACTGTCGTTTTCTTCAATATTGGCGCAAGAACAGTGTGCCCATTTATCACAACTACATTTAGCCCAACTCTGTACAGGCAGAGTATAACACTCGACAATAGAGGCATTCTGTGTCATTTGTCTTTTGTTTTGTTTGGCCTACCCTTGCTGATGCCTGTATCTTTTTGATTTTACGGAATTTCTTTCGGTAAACAAGGACCATTTTCCTGGGGGTGCCGAAACTGCTGTTGATTGTTTTTGTTGTTCAATCAGCTGCTGCTTGTATGTTGTATCTGTTAGAATTGCTGTTTTCCTTTTCTCCTTCTGCTATTTTCGATTTTTTTCTTGGTTCCAACGTGTGGAATTGGCATTATTTCTATGGGAGAGGCTCAAGCAGAAACTGAATGAGTAGGCCTACTTGTAGTGGTGTAATCAGTGACTGTTTCTGCACCCAGATTAAGCATACCTCTGCCTTCATGGTTGGTTGTTTTAAAACGTTAATCCTGGCATGTCTTGCTGCTGAAGGGGCCTGTTTGTCTTTTCTGCAACAATAAAGTCTGCAGCCGAAAATACTTCTGGATTCATTGGCCATATTCTTAGTCAACCTGGAGCAAGATGGGTTACCCCATCTTGCCCCAACGTGCACTTTAACACTGACTGCAAACACAGGTCAACTTTATTTCAAAACTAGACAATTACAGTCTTAAAGGTTACTTTGGATACAATAATATCTTCATTTAAAAAGCAATGTAAAAGTTCACAATGATACTTTCTTTATAGAAACTTTTCAGGAGGCATAAAATTAGATAAAGTAATGCTAAAACATGAAATCGTGTCTAATTCCCAAACAAAAAGAGCGATTCAGATGTTCTCTTGTCTCGTGATTCCTTTCGAGGCAGACATTTAATTCCCCAAATAACAGCTAAAGAAAGCACGTTAACCACGAATAAACAGACGCTCCCCGTCTTACCCCATGGCCCCATCTTGCACCACTTTTTCCTACATATCTGCAAAAATTCACGTTTAATGGTCTTGCGGTTGCTTTCAACTTCAATCACAGACGAAATACTTACTGACTTATGAAGAGCCCCACTTATGCTTTGTTCAATATGTAGAAAATAAACTGGAAAACAATTAAGTTATGACGATGGTACAATACTATGAAAAATTCTTACCAATACACATTCTTATCCCAGCCGAGAAAGGGATGTATGCGTAACTGTTTATATTAGAAGAATTTTCTGGAAGAAATCTGTTTGGATCAAACACGTTCGGATTTGGAAAATAAATCGGATGTCGATGCAAATGAAATATCGGTATTATAAACGAAGTTCCTTTCGAATATTTGATACCGCCTGTTAAATTGAAATAAAAGTTACATCATTAATAAAAAAAATTATTTACGACAAAAAGATTTACCAAATTTCAGGTTTTGTTTCGATTTTCTGGCTGTATTTGGAACAACTGGATATAATCTCATCGTTTCCTGTATAACATTAAAAATTTTATTTTTATTTTTAAACAAATGAAAAATAACTTAAGAAGTTTTTAAACGAAACTCATCCTCACGTATTACCATAATTTTCAGTTTTAAGAAATGAAGTTATAAATTTAACTGATTTTTACTTTCCTCATTGTTATATATAACAGAGAGTAAATATGGCGATAGGTAAAAAATGATATACCGAGACTTGTACTTTTGGACTCAACACACCCTTAAACATTAAGAAATGCAAAAAACTCGAGATTGTTTTTGTATTTATGGATGTTAGTGTGCAGGGTGAGGGCAGAACTTTGTTCATCCTCTTTAAAACTTAATAATTTTTCTGCATTTCATGGAAAATGGCTGAAATTTTGTAGGCAAATTTGCATATTAGAGAGATCGATGGAATTAAACATCGGTGATTAAAGGTCGAGGGGTGGAAAGATTAATAAATTAATTAAGAAGGGTCGTGTATCATATCTCGAGTTGTGTCAGACTGAATGATGATTTTACTGGTTATAGCATGTACAATTTTTTAATAAAACTTATTCCTATCCTCAGAATTAAAGCTTTTACAATTTTATAACAATTAAAAAGATTTTAAAAATTTTTAATGTAATGTATCATAATGGATGGTGACACACACGCAGTTTCAAATGCTGCCGGGGAAAGTTAAGCAACTGGTTGCTGGATTTTTACTTTACTAACTATTATATCGATATATTACTTTATTTATTGGCGTTAAATAAATTTTATAATCTATATTTTAGTATTCACCGTAAACTTTGCTAATTCCAGATTAAGAATTTCCTTATTTAATAGCTTGATCAACTGCTATACCATACATACTGCAAAGAATATGTAATGTCGGCTGGCCTAGATTAATTATGCATTCCTGCACGTAATTTTAGTAATTTTTCAAAAACATATATTACTAATAAAATTCAAGTGTATATATTAAGGAACCACCATTTATTCACTTTCAATGTTCCAGAATTCAAACTTTTGATCGGTGATTTTTCTCTGTGGGCTATTTGAACGTCAAAGTTGAAACTTCCTTAAGTGGTAAGGATGAAAAGAAAAAAGATGCCTGTGGCATAATCAGTTTCGATTTATAAACGTGTTTTTAATTTGATATTTTTTCTGTGTTTTTAATGAAAAGTTTAATTTTGATTGCCGACCACAGACCTTCCTCTGTATGATCCTTGGCCCACAGAGGAAATACTGTCGTTAAAAGTGTTTTTTTTTTGCAAAATTGAAAGTAAATAAATGACTGTTCCTTTTTAAACAGACTATCATCAATTTTATTTTTAAACATAAGTGCCATCCGTCGATATTCTACAATTGAATATATATTACTAATTAAAAAAGGGCATATAACTATGAGCTCGTGGCCTTAATATTAAGATTTCAGCAAAAGTTTGATATTCGATCTACAGGCCAAGATATTCGAGGTCACATTTTCAATGTAAATTCTAAGTTCCGATTGCCGGTTGTGAGCAGGTAGTGCAGTATATTCGAATCTAGTATACGAATTCTATCAATTTACTTTAATCTCTTCGACAAATTTTTATTTTGATCTTTACAACGGGCATTTAACATGAACAATATCATGACGAAATACATTCTTCAAAACACGTTCGAAGTTCAAAACACGATCTGCGGTTACACATGTGTGTATTTGAAACATTTGCAAGAGATGATATGCTTCTGGTAATGTATGTGAGTGTTTTAAAACGTTTCTTGACATTTTCTTCACATGACCTGGTTTGAACTTGTCACTCCTCCCTGGAATCTGCGAATTTTAAACTACTTAAGACAAAATATTGAAAGCGTGTTATCATGTTTGTGTTTTTGTGTCATGCTAAAAGAGTAAAACTTATGCCTCTGAGATTACTTTCGTTTTCTTAGATAATTCCTAGTTAATATGTAAAATTAGTTATATTTACATTTACATTTAGTGGAGCACTCCCTCTGACCTGTAGCATTAAATGCTACTGGCTTGAGGTACTCCTCTTTTAATTAAATTAATGTAAAATTAGTATAAAGCCTATTAATTTAAAGTTTTTTACCTTAATTACGCATTCCAAATAAATCATTTTGTTTAAATCTTCTTTTGAAATTGTGCGCTGAATGTCATTATAAAATATAAAATCCATTTCTTCTTGAACTCTCGATTGTACTATCTTATTTCTTCCCAGTTCATATAAACACCAGCATAAAGTCATTGAACTTGTGTGATAACTCTTAATTAAAAAATTATTAACAAAAATATAAAGTTATTTAAAGGAAATAATTTTTCATAAATTAACCAAATCAAAGACAAGTCTCTCCAAGAGGGATAACCATTTATTTTGCATTCCAGTCTATACACATACACATTTATTGCGACAGGCTTTCCTTTTTAGGTTTCATGCCGTCTAAGGTAAAAAAGTCCTTTAAAAAAGGCAAACATTCAATTAAAACAAAGGAATCGGTGACACACAGACGTCTTACTTCTCATTCATCTGGCCAATGGGGTGGTTCTGCTTTATATCTACTAGAACAGGCGCTGGAAGATGTAGATTTTAAAGCTGCTCCCTGGCAACGGTACATTTAAAAATTTATATTTGTTAAATTTTTCTGTCCGATGGCAGGATTAATATTAACCAAATCAGAGATATTAACCAAATCAAAGGCTAAAAAGGAAGGCCTGTCGCCATGAATGTGTATGTGTATAGTCTGGAATGCAAAATAAATGGTAATCCCTCTTGGACAGACTTGTCTTTGATTTGGTTAATAATCCTGCCACTGGACTGAAAAATTCAACAAAAAGAAATTTTTCATAAATATTGTGAAGTTACAATAAAATTAATTTAAAAACCTAATACTTATAAATAAAAAATATTACAGAAGTTGCGGCGCAAGTTCATTCGTTACTTAAACGCAGCAAGCAGAAGTACACAGTTTACGTGTTAACTCCAAGAAAAAATCGTTGCGGCTCACGTTCACAACATCGCGTGACTTTGTGAACGTCGCGCATTGACTCACGGGAAAATTGTTGAAAAGATGGCGGACACATTTAACATCGAAGGTTACCAGCGAAGGTAAGTAAACAAATTATACTATTTTAAAGTATTTATAGGATGTTTAATAACACTAAGTAATTATTTTTAATTAGCGTGGTCTTTAGTACCGCACGATCAGACGATAGGACTACCTAATACTTTTGTCAAGGAAAGTAGTGGCTAATGTAAATTCGAAAGCAGCTCGGAAAATTAATTATTAGAAAATTTACAAACGTATTACGCTGTCGATAGTAGAAGATACCGCGAAAAAGAAACCTACCTTAAGATAAGCTATTATAAAAAGCAAATATATGTAAATTCTACATCACATGCTAAAAAATTGATAATTAAATAATTTATGGATCAAAATCGTCCGTTTCTTTACAATATTATTCGAAACTGCTTACATAATCATTATTTTTATAAAATAAATAATAATTTTAAACTAAACACAAAAAAATGAAGTTTAAGTCGATTGTCTACTCGCCGTGCTAGACGTAGCGATCACTTTTATCGACCATCCAAAATCGCTAGATTGCAGCGCTCGATGGTCTGCCGTTCACGTTTTGGGCTAAATACGACGGCCGCAATCTCTCTATTAAATTTCCATATAGAGTGAATATAAATTAATCGGAGAAAAAACATTCTAAATATCACTTTTGGTAGCTGTTGTTATGATCTATGTATGTTTGACTCTTTAATCCGACATTAAGTTCAGTAGACTATCATTACAGGTTATAGGTTACACATTTCTTTTGTTGTTTCCACATATGCATTTTGGACTTATATAAATATTAAGTCCCTCTTCAGTGCAATACTACAAATTATTAAAAACACAATTAGTAACATGACAAAATTCTTTACGTGTAAATCAATATTTACTGGCATCAAACTATCATACTTAAAACTTCTCACACTTATACGAATCCTATGGTTCTGTCTTCCGAAACCACGGTGTATAACGGGTAACATTGGTAAGATTTTGAAATACAGCCATTAAAAACACCACAAATACATTTTCCAACATTAATACGGAAAACCTAATATATTAATAATTTTATAATTTTTTACTTTATAACATCATATATCTTAATAAAATAAAAATATAACACGATACTGGCTTTTCACATGTGCTCGTAAAATCTTATATAAGTACAACTGTTAAAGAATGGGTTAATGTCCAGATACGTGGACTGTCATGGCGGCATTTCCTGTTTTCCGACTGCCAGCCTCGACACCGGAGCGGTTTGGAGACGACATGTCACGTGACGACAAGAGCGAGCTGCGGCGGCTGCTGCGCTGCGATAAACGGGAAAAACCGACGCGCGGGTTAACGTCCATATACGTAGACTGTCATGGCGGCTCATCTCTGATTCCGGAAAAGAAAAAAAAACAGTGGGGATGCACGTTCTAACCTAACCTAACCTATTCTAATAAATTATCATAATTATTACCAATTATATGATTAGAATAAGTTAGGTTAGGTTAGAACGTGCGTCCCCACTGTTTCCTTCTGTTTGCAGGAATCAGCGATGAGGCGCCATGACAGCCGCCGACGCTGCCGCGGCGCAGCAGCCGCCGTAGTTCGCTCGCGTCGTCACGTGACATGTCGTCTCCAAACCGCTCCGGTGTCGAGGCTGGCAGTCGGAAAACAGGAAATGCCACCATGACAGTCCATGTATCTGGACATTAACCAAAGAATGTGTATCTTTTACAATATAACGTAGCACTAACTGCAATTATAATCGTTTTACAGATTAATTATATGTAGCATAGTAATATTAAAAACATTTTCAAGAGAATACATACACAATTTTACAATATATTTCCAATTATTTTTTGTAACAATACTATAATAAATACATTACAATCAATTTTTTTCATCAGCACCACCTATTATATTATACCACTGTTGATCTATTTGCATACCATTTAATATATTGATTATATTATCATCTTTAAATTTTATAATTTCAATATCTTCCTTACATTTACGTTTATACATATCTTTTTCCAAATGCATTATTTTTATGTTATTTCTATCTATTTGAAAATTACTATTTTTATATGGTTGAACCACGGAGAATTATTGTATTTTAGTGTAATTGCCGCTTCGTGTTCTTTAATTTTTAATTCTAACGTTCTATTAGTTTCACCTATATAATTTTTTGACTTTTGGCAATTACAATTAATTTTATATACGACTCCTGATTTTTTAAATGTATCATCATTCGTTTTATATTTATAAATATAAAATGAATGATGATAAATTAAATAAATAATAGTTGGCGCTGATGAAAAATATTGATTGTAATGTATTTATCATAGTGTTGTGACAAAAATAATTGGAAATATATTGTAAAATTGTGTATGTATTCTCTTGAAAATGCTTTTAATATTACTATGCTACATATAATTAATCTGTAAAACGATTATAATTGCAGTTAGTGCTACGTTATATTGTAGAACATACACATTCTTTAAAAGTTGTACTTATATAAGATTTTACGAACACATGTTAAAAGTGAGTATCATGTTATATTTTTATATTATTAAGATATATGATGTTATAAAGTAAAAAATTATAAAATTATTAATATATTAGGTTTTCCGTATTAATGTTGAAAAATGTATTTATGGTGTTTTTAATGGCTGTATTTCAAAATCTTACCAATGTTACCCGTTATACACCGTGGATTCAGAAGACAGAACCATAGAGTTCGTATAAGTGTGACAAGTTTTAAGTAAGATAGTTTTATGTCAGTAATTATGACCTACACGTGAAGAATTTTGTCATGTTACTAATTGTGTTTTTAATAATTTGCACTGAAGAGGGACTTAACATTTATATAAGTCCGAAAAGCATATGTGGAAACAATAAAAGAAGTGTCTAAACTGGAAACTGTAATGATAGTCTACCGAATGTCATTTTTAAGAGACAAACATACATAGAAAAAAACATTCTGAAAGCAGTGAGCATAAATATAATTTATATTTATAAATCTGACTAAAGTGGTATGTTTTTACTATACCAAGCAAAACTACACTGATCAGAATAACTTAACTCCTTAAGCCCTGATCAATTTTTGATATTAATGAAATTAAACATAAAAAATACTTGAGAACAGCTAGAGTCGAATTTCCCGGAACATTCTCATAGAAGTCTCAGGAGGAGAAAGATTTATAGTAGAATGAATACTAGCTGGCCATATATTTTTAAACATTTTTAAAAAATTTAAATTTTTATTGCGATTTCTGACCCCCCGACTTAATTAAACTTACATATAATAAAATCTATTAATTAAAAACATTAAAAAACTATAGGAAGTCGTTTTTGATATCAGAAAGTAGCTTTAAATAACTTTACCAAAGTAAAATCCGTGCACTACAACTTTAGAACGATTGATTAAATTTGATTAAAAATCCCATTAAAAAACAATTAAGCGTTAATCGCGCGTCATTAAAGGTTGATTAAAATCGCGATAAAATTTTTTCGCGAGGGTAAAAGTTTTTGAAAAAATTTGGAGACCTAAAAAACATCAAAAATTGAAGGAAAAAAATTTTTAGGGGGCAAAAGGACCGNAAATAAATAAAAAATTTTGAAAAGTGGCCTTGACCTAGATTTTCGTAACGCTATGTAACTTGTTCGAGATATTTCGGGCTTGGGGCTTTAATTAATTAATTAATTAATAATCTCTTTCGTAATAAATTTGTAAAATGTAAAATATAAATTTTTGCTAAATCACCATTTTACTATTTAAAGTTGTTATTCTTGTCGATTAAATTGTGAACTGTACATGAATGAAATGAAAAAGTTTATTTTCTTCACATTTGTCAATTTTTTTCACAAATTACACATATTCATATATTTAATGCAGTCTTCTTGTAGCCACCAGCGCGACACAATGCATTATATTTAACTAGTAGCCCGGGACGCCTCCTAGTGGGCGTTTTTTACAATTTTCCATGAAGCATGGTTTCTTTGACTTTTTTTGTTCCTATCAATATGCTGTACAACTCTGTTAAAGTCCCAATGGTAAGATTTACCCTCCGAATGAAGAGGTGGCGACCCTCCCAAACTGTAGCCCCTGGGCGAACAATAAAGTCAAAGGAACCATACCCCTACTCGCGACCTTTCGCGAGATATAAGCCCCTGCAATAATAAATTCCTATTACAAATATACTGAATTATTTATATCGTTATATTGATCAAATAATAATTTATAGGCCAAATGAATAATAATATTTTACATTGTTAATTTAAATAATAATTAAAATTGTTAATTTGAATGTTTGAAATATGACACACGATAGGGGCGCCTCTAGTGTCCGTTATCAAACGGTTACGGGATGGACGGATGGACGGATACCCATTGAATGGGTTATATATATAGATCATTGTTTTAACTGTACTATTCTAAAGTAAAAATAATTTTTAAACAATAAATAATATAAATATCATTACCACAATAAGCAAACTTTTGCAACATTAATAGTACAGAGAGATTTAGCATACCATCTTTTTATTTTGATTTTAAAATGTTTACACTTGAATGTACTTTACTGCTGTAATTTATGTACCATACTAAAACGCAGTTAAAAACAAAAAATTGCATTTAAAATTGTACAGTAGAAGTTGTTTTTCAAGTTAAGCCTTAATCTTCTTTCTTTCACATGCATGCAAAATTTTCTAAAACTTTTTTAGTATGTAATTTCACAACATACGCTATTAAAATGCAAATAAAAACAAAAAACACATCTAAAATAGTATAGTAAAAGTCGTTCTTCAAGTTAAGCCTTAGTCCTTACTTTTTCCCCTTGTAATAGTAATTTTCATTAGCACTTCTTAATATACATTTTGATAATGAATCAAACTAAAATGCAAGTAAAAACAAAAAAAAAACACATCTAAAATAGTATAGTAAAAAGTTTTTCTTCAAGTTAAGCTTTAATCCTTTTTTTTCCCACCAGAGAGAAATTTCGAAATCTGTTCTTAGTATGCATTTCTTAACATACCCGACTATAACGCAGTTATAATCGAAAAAAAACACATCTAAAATAGTACAGTAAGAGACTTTCTTCAAGTTAAGCCTTAATCCTCACTTATTTACCTTGCAATAAAAATGTTCAAATATCACTTATTAGTATACATTTTCATAACGTATCCTACTAAAACAAAGTCAAAAACAAAAATAGCATCTAAAATTGAACAGTAAAAGCTGTTTTTCAGGTTAAGCCTTAATACTCTTCCTTTTCCAATCAGCAAAAATTTCCAAAAATGTTTTCTTAGTGTGCGTTTTAATGACATATTCTACTAAAACGCAGTTAAAAACAAAAAGTTGCATTTAAAATAGTACAGTAAAAATACAGTAAAAACCGTTTTTCAAGTTAAGCCTTAAACCTTACCTGGAGTTCAGGTAGTATGCGTAGAGAAGGAAGCCAGACACAGGCTTTGTTCTCTAAAAAAGTGAACACAGGCTCAATGATGATGAGAACAGGGGACTGAAGACACCACGCAAGATGTCCCACTTCATCATTGTGCTCATCCAACCATGTTTTTTACACAGCAAGCCGTGAGTACAGGGCGTTGTCATCATAGAATAGAGGACATTTTCCAAGAAACAGAGTATGAAGCATAGGGTGTAAATGATTTGCGAGAATTCTGCGTTAATGCTCGCCTCTGACCTTCTCTTTCAGGACTACAAGGGGCCCCAATCCATGCCACGATATCGCTCCCCACAGCATCACAAAGCCCCTCCATGCTTCACTGTAGAAACCAGACAGTCAACATGAAATGCCTCAGCCGGTGTTTGCCAGACAAATACATGTCCAGTGGTCTGAAATAATGTAAAAGTATTATAGATTGGATATATTTGGGTTATAAAATTAATTAGTATTAATTAGTATATAAATTTGATGTAAAGTAACAATATAAAAATGATGATGCCAGATAAGAATTAACATAAAGTAATGATGCAAACTGAATTATATCGAAATAAAGACCGATACAGTATAGATTATATTGGTATAATGGAATAAACTGTAATCGATGTATTTACTAAGTNAATGATGCAAACTGAATTATATCGAAATAAAGACCGATACAGTATAGATTATATTTAATTTGTATAAGAATTTAATATAAAGTAATAATACAAACCAAATTATAACGATAACACAACTTAAAAATTTTTTGAAAATTTTGCCCTCTGCTATACACTCCATATGGTAAACTAAGTCGTGTCGACCCAGCGTTATGCTCTTTGTAACAAATAAGCAAATGGCTCCATCAACAATGTCAGTTTTTTTTATCTGCGGATAATATACGATTGGAGTTTAAAAAAACGATTGGTCATTATTTTGTAAAGAAAATATGATTGGTTCTTAGTTTAAAAAAATATGATTGGTCGTTAGTTTTTAAAGAAAATATGATTGGTTAGTATTTAATATAAGTTACTTTTTTAAAGAGAATTAGCTTTATATTTAAGCTGCAATCATGGGGATGTACGGTTTTGTAATAACCTACAGGGACTATAAAAATTACTTAGTTTTACCAATTCTATACACAACTTTCGATGCTTGCATTTCTGCAACAAAAAATTTCTCGTTCAATGTTCCTGATAGTTTTCCATTTAACCTTCACTATTTCAAAGTCTGTAATTGTTGGCGAAAATGGAGGAATTAACGAAGTATGTGACGGATTATACAGATCGTTGGAATGGTGTGCAGAAGACATAAGAGAAATATGTTTAGAAAATGATAAGAAAATTTTAGCAGTGTTTAAACAGATAAGTCCAGGAATGAAATATTATAAATTTTCTAAGGTTGACAAGGTTGATTAAATACGTATTTCAAACATCCCAGTACTTGTGTAATTTGCCAGTCCTTCTTTTCTTGCCCAGTACTTGTGTAATTGCCAATCCTTGACTTGATGGGACATGTTACAAGTGCAGATTAGGTTAATCTATTATGTTTTTAATATATAATTTTAAAAAAATTTGCATGTTAAAACTATTTATTCGGAAATTTGAAAATACAGTAATGCCTCGATTATCCGAAAGTCAATTATTCGAAATAATTCCACTCGGGAAATTTACATTTTTGCTAGTGCTGCAATCCTTGGCTATGTCTTGGGCTACTCAAATATTTTACGTTTTTGATGCTAAATTAACTTCTAAAGTATAATTTTTTATTGTTTTTATATTTTTCAATATATTTATTTTGTTTGTACAAAATAAAAAAATAATTTTTAATGACCCTATCGAGCTGTTTTTATAAATGAGTTAAGCTTAGATATAATTCCGATTATATCCAACAGAATTGTGTACTTTTTAGTTTCGCTAATAACATTTTCAATACTCAAAAATATATAGAAGTTTTATTTAATACAAACCTGTTTTACGGCCATTAGCTCTGTCTCTTTTGTGGAGGTTCTTCTTCTTTTGAGAAGGAAGTAAAATTATCATCCTCGGATGAGGAGGAGGTGCAAGAATTATTATCCTTGGATGATGTAGAATTCTCCATCTCATCCTCATTTTTGGATGATGACTGATCGCTACTATCACTAGGTTCTAGCGAATAGCTAGGTTCTTCCGATAGATCGTGATAGTAGGTGGAAACTTCTTCCTCCTCTTGGGGTGCAATTGCTCCAGCAGCAGGTCTCTGATCTATGGATGTCATTATCACCCACTGCTGCTGGCTGAGAAAGCAATCTCTAACTCTGTATAGGATATAGACCTTCTCAGGGACAACAGCTGTGACTAGAGGAGTTCCTTTATTTTTATCATATTTCCTCACCCCTCTAATCATAGCTCTATATCCAGCAACTGCACTTCTCTCATCAGCCACAACAATAAATTCCATGCTGTATTCAAGAAAAAATATTATATTAACCTCTCACTCCTTAGAGGGTTTTGTTGTCATTGTGTTAGTTCTTATAGATTTAATAAAAAATAATTTTTAGATATTGGTTAAAAGAAAGGAAACAGCTCTCCAAGGTCGATGATTCTCACACAAAAACAGGTGTGTCCTAGTTAATAGCTTTTACTTTCGAAGACAGGACAAAGAAAACAAACTTTTCCTTATGACCTAACCTAGTTGATATTCGTTACATAATAACCTAATCTGTCAATAAGCATTACTTTGAAGATGAATGTGCTCTAATTTTAGTATCAAAGTCACGTCTAAAAAAATTTGTAGGTCAGTAGTCGAGGATAAAAGGGGGGCGATTTTTTCCTAAACTTCACTCATCGATTTTTCTACTAAAGAAAACTTTCATTAAAGAAAATCATGTCTGATTGTGGTAACGTTTATTTTAATAATAATAATACCCACCTTAATTTAGATTATAATTTTTTTACAAACTAATTGTAGAATTTGATTTTGAGTTCAAAATAAAAATAATGATAAGAAAAGAGGTCCCAAACCCAAAACAGGCAAGGCTGGTGAAAACAAAAAAACAAGATTTGATTTGGATCTAACTGCCGAGAAAAGTAAGCAGATAAAAATTTCTGATTTTAAAGTTAAGATTAGCGAATCCGAAAAAATCGAAATACATAAATTTTATATAATATACCAACACACTTGTATTCTACATACCAAGTTTTTTTTTTCTTTATTCAAACGTTTTCAGCCTATTTGGATAAGCCATCCTCAGGTTTTACGTTCACGTTCCAAAATCTGGAATTTGGAACGATAACGTAAACGTTTGAATAAAGAGAGAGAGAGAGAGGGGGGGGGGAAACTCGGCAAGTAGAATTCAGGTGTGTTCATATATTATACTTAACATTGCTAAGAATGGGAGAAATACAGGAATTTCAGTCGAATTTCTATGTATCTCTCATAAAAGCCAAGGGATCATACCCGCATAACAAATATAACATCAACGTAAAAGATTTTAGCAAGTATAAACAAGCATTCAACGCTATGGGACAGGAGATGGAGGAATATATATGATATGATATGTTTAAAAGTGTTAGAAGGCCGAACCTTACGGCATAGCCTTTGAAAAGGAAGGATGAAGAGTTTTAGAGGAAATGAGAAAAGGAAGGAAAGTAAGAAATGATAGGAAAGTGTGAAGTGGGAAGCATGGCGCTATCGCGTTCCATTTATTGAGTATACTTTAGTTACAACACATGGGACATAGTCTACAGATAACAGTCTGGTCAAAATATATACAGAAAATAAGCCCGCACATGGTACTGCCTCTAGGGAGACAGGGCACACGAGCAATTGACAGCTATGCACGTGGGCAACCGACACAAGCTGCTGAAAATACCAACCTGGAATGTGCTGGAGTACAAAAGCAGAAAGTTACACACGAAAGAAAAGAAAAAATAGATAAAAAATAAATAAAATAATAAAAAAATTGAATAAATAAATAAATAATAATAATAATAATAAACACGAAAAGTCTCCTGACAGCCAACTCAGCCAGGTTACAATGGGGAGCAACAATGCAAAGAACCCCAGATGGCCAACTCGGCCATAATACAGGGGTATACAACACAACACAAGAATCCTCAATGGCCAACATGGCCAGGATCCAGTGGGAGTGGTAACAAGACTGGAATTTCCAAATATCCAGTTCGGCCAGGTTACAATGGGTGTTCCGAGTGAAGCTGACAGCTAGGACGCCCAGAGAATCCTAGAACGAAGGTACCGTGACCCCGGTGCCCATGATGAAATTCTTTAAAGCGTTTAATGTCTGCTTACTCATGAAAAAGTCTTTTGGAGCACAGGGCCAATGGAGGCTACACCTGTACAAAGTCTCGGTGAGGGTCTTTCTTAGTGTCTTAAACTTGGGGCACCTGAAGATTATGTGGTGGGGATCTTCGTCTTCCCCCGAACCACAGTCACATATTCCGTCTCCTTTGTGGAAAAATCTTCTTAAGTAGACACGGAAGTTCCCATGCCCCGTAAGGATTTGGGATAGGTGGAAATCGGGGGTGAAGTAGTCCATCCTTTGTCTACTTGCAATGTCAGGCAGGAAATCATGGGTAGTTCTTCCTGTAGATTCGCTGTTCCATCTGGCTTGCCAGTCCGAAATAGTAAGTTTTTTAAGTTTCTCATGAAGCCAACAGCTGGGAAGCTCTCCAAACACTGGTTCCGTTGATGATCGTGCCGCCTTCTTTGCAAGAAGGTCGGCCCTCTCATTTCCCCGAATGCCAGAGTGGCCCCTAACCCACGTAAAAGAAACTGTAAGACCTTTCACAGATAGGCACTGGAGAAGTGTTACTGTTCGTGCAATGATGTTCAGTTTTGTGTT